TCCACCACCATCCCCGGGAGGGGGAGGCGGTGCCCCACGGTTAGCGCGTTCATGTGCCGCATGACAGCGCGAGCATCGCTCAAAACAATCTTCCCCACGATACGTATGCTCATTGCAAATGTTCTTGTCACAGTCGTGACAGGAATACATGGATACCTCCAAAGCATTCCTTCGACATGCCCAGCATTTCATTTTCAAGAACTGACAGTTGCAACAGTCCCCGTCATCACCCCTGCACAATTCGCAGAAGTCACGCTCACACGTGACACAAACGAAACTTGCACATGGATGCTCTCGTCTGTAGGGGTTGTCTCGAGCACACATCCTTGAGAGATCAGGTCCATTGCCACCTGGCTCACCGCTTGCTGTTGGTCCAGCAGCCTGCCTGCGATCAGGCGGAGCCCCCGGGGTCCCTCGGCTACCGCCAGGACTCGGGGCATTGTCTCCGACCCTATTGTTCCGGTCGTTCCTAGGTGGGCGGTTCAAATCCCTAGAGGCGTTTCCGCTATCGCGGACCGGCCTATCGTTGCTCGATTGTCGAGCCCTAACCTCAGACACCCTATCGGGGACCGCAGCAACTCTCGGGCTCCTGTTCCTGGCCTCACCCCTATCCGGTGAGATCGAAACATTTGCTCTATTTGTTCTGGCGCGAGCCAGTGATTCTTCCCTCGTCCGCCTCGGTGGAGAGTGTGACCTGTCCTGCATCTGCAGAGCTCTTCTGCTCCGGCTATCCGCCCTATCCCTAACGGGAGAAACTGGGCGCCTAGCCGCACGAGGAGCCGCGTCAACCCTACCAGGCGCATTCGGCAGCACATGATCAGTTAGGCTAACGCCTCCACCCGGCCTATTCGGTGGGACAGAGTCTCGTGCATTTCCATCTCCAGGAGTGGGCGTCGGCGATCTGATCCTGTGCCCCTGTCCGGCGAAAGCGTGGTATCCCCCGTTAGGCCTACCCCCGTGCCCACGAGGATGGTCATGAGCAAGTTGGACCAAGCCAGCAGCATCTTCGATACTCCCTTCGAGATTGGCAAACTGAGACATAACTCGAGTGTTCATCTCGTTCAGAGTTCGGATGTTGTTCTCGGTAGCCCCAAGCCTTCACATACACGAAGAGATCCCCCGTCACTCCGGGACTCCAGCATTCGGTCCGCAAAGGACCTATACTCAGCACGGAGCTCGTCAATGGCCGAAGTGGCCCATTCCGCATGCCGATTGCTCTCACCTTGGAGTCTATCGACTCTTGCGGCCAAGTCCCGAAAGCTTGCGTCATCTCCACTGCTAGCAGCCCTACCGGGCCCTGATGCAGCGGGAGCACCCGAGGATGAGAGCAGCCTAACGGCCTTCTCAACCGAATGGAGCTGCTTCTCGAAATTCCCGATCTCAGTGTAGATCTCATCCTGAAAGGCACCTTGGCTCTTGAACATAGCATACTGCTTGTCCTCAACGAGCATTCGAAGTTGACTCATACCGCCTTCGAGGTCCCTAACGGATTCCCGAACCTCGTCGGATAACGAGTTGATCCTCTGATCCACAACCTCACTTTGCTCATCGATAGCCTGCCTGACAATGGCCCTGCTATCGGGAATGACCTCACCGGCAAACCGTTGAACAATCATTCGCATACGATCAGCATCCGCTTGGGTCGCAACCTCGGTAGCTAGACGGCCGACCTTGTCCTTCATGAGCCGATTCTCATTTTGCCATTCCTTTTGCATGGAACTCACCTGACCGTTCAGTAACCTGATCTGATTAGCAAAAACATTGAGGGTGTTTGCAACGGAACCGGATGCCTCGCCTCGTTCAAACAGCTCCTGGATATGCAGGTCAAATACTTCCTTGACCCTAGCATCTCCAGATTCAGCAGAAGAATGGGATCTCAGAGCTGGAGGAGTCGATATCTCGATCCTCTCAGGAACCCTTTCAACTCTGTTACGTCCCCTGGGTCGGAAACAGGAGCATCAGCGATCCTGGGCGGCCTGATTGGACTGATACCCCTTCCCCGGCTATCGCCGGATCTGGGATTGACATTCGACCCATGAGATTCAGGAGTGGAATGAATATGAACATCAGCAGGATCAAACATGTCTTCATCCTGCGGCGTTGAACCTATCGGTCCAGGGCTAGCCCTCCTCGCCTTCGACCTATCGGTCCCTCCGGCTACGGATGACGGCCTCTTCGCAGAGGCACTTCGTTCCCTGCTTGCTGATCCCCATTGGGGAGTGAACTCATTGCTAGACCTTAGTGGCTCGAGGTCGCTGAGATCTCGCGCGGACGATCCTCGATTCCAAGCGCACTAGCAAGTCTTCCGTCCCTCGCGCCTGCCTCAATCACATCGGCGGCTCGCTGAGTAATCCTGGATGAACCAGTACCCCGGTTCATATCCCCGACTCTCTGATGCAGCGGTCCTCCAAACTGGATGTTGGGAAAAGGGGGAACATTTGGGAAGGGATCAATGACGGGAGGACCTACCGGTCCTCTTCCGTCATGGATGGCCTCCAAATCCCTAAGGGTGCCTGATCCGCTCTCTTGCACTCCGAGTATCCGTGTCCACACGAAGGTCCCTAGCAGCTCCACGAGTCGCAGCAGCACGGCTCCTTGCATTCCGATACGACAAACTTTCTTCCTCTTCACGACGATCCGCAAATGCGGCATAATCTTCATCATCATTGAACTCAAAATTGGTCGTCGAAACCGGGTTGGGCCTATTAGTGTCAGACTCTTGCTTCACGCTACTGCCCCAACCTGCGGTCGACGCCAGCAGGGCATCGTATCCGATGCCCGCAAACGCCCTCTCCTCTTGCTCATCAAACTGATCTGGATTTTGAGAACCTGTTGATCGACCCGAGATATCTCTCGGAGCCAAAACCATGGTTCCCGGACCTAACGGTCTGTCCTCAACCTGATCCGAGGCTTGCGTTTCACCTGGAAAAAGAGACCTAGGGGGTCGATTAGGCAGGGCCTCCTGATCGTCCGTGTGAGGACGAGCCATGTTCATCGCCATGCTGATGAAGTCCAAATGACCTTGTCCGAAACCTGATTCGGAGCCGCTCCTACCGGAGCGAGCTCCTCGTCCTTGTTCATCATCGGTGGCCTGACGGAAAATGCGGTCGTCTCCATCGTCAGTGTACCTGCCACGGCTTCTGGGTGTGTCCCTACCGGGATCATCACCCCTGCGGTCCTGACCTGCTGAACCTGTCTCGAATTCCTCGTAGTCATAGTCCGGTAGGTCCTCACTTGAGCGGAGGCCACCTAGGATGGCCTCCTCATCCACGACGCTCCTGTGCGAACGTGGGGTCGACGTCATTGAGCTTGTAGTTGACGGTCTCAAGCGCGTAGGAAAGTCCTACGGCTGATAACCTGTGATTCGGGCACGAGCCTGTGCCCAGGCAATGGGTTAGTTGGGGTAAACAAGCCACAAAAGAAAGGTTCCCCAAAAGCAAACCAATCCCCGGTCCCAAAGATCAGGGTTTCCCACACACCAGAGAACAACAACCAAAAGGAAACAAACCAAACAAGAAAAGGGTTAACCCGCAACCTTGGTCGACAACAGGCCGCACGACTGGTCCCAACCAACCTGGCGGCGGCCCGAGGTCTCTTTCTCCCCCGAGATGCCGTCGGTCGACGCAGGGGTTCGGCGACGCCCATTCGAGGCGCGACGGAACCCAAAATCTTGAGCCAAACACCACAGGTCAGTCACTACCGCGACATCCCTGGTGATGAAATAAACCATGGCTAATCACAGATTGCAAAGCTAGGTCCAGATTTGAGAGGTTAGAATAAGTTGGTACCCGATTTTGTTCTGTAGTCTATTTTAGTAGAGGAACCCTCACCCAAAAAGGGGTGAGAAAGGGCACTACTGGGGGACCTACGTAGCACAGGTCGGGCCGAAGATCGGGGGTTGCGACCGAAGAACAACACGCAATAGGTAGTTCAAGGGCTTCAAGGAGGCCGGCTTCCTGCTCCCCTCAGGAACCATGCTCTCAACTCAGCCCCGTTCCACCTACCGTTGGGGATTCCACGAAACCCAAAATGGAAGTCAAGAAACACGTACGTCAAGTGATCCCTTGGATGGTCCCCTCATACGAAGCTGCCAAGCTGTGGTTTTGCTTGGGGATCGTGGCTGCGCGACTACGCAAGTTTCAGACCGCAGTAAAAGCCAAGGGGCTTTCCTGTTTGGATTGCAAAGCTAGGTCCTCAAGTGGAGAGGCTAGAATAAGTGTACCCTTTTTTCTGTTGTCTATTGTAGTAGGGGAACCCTCCCAACCAAAAAAGGCGTGAGAAACGCACCTAGCTGGGGACCTAGAAAGCGAACGCAAAATGGAAGCCAACCACCTGAAGGAATTGGTCCAACTTGGCGTGTTTTGAGCAACCCCACTGAAGTTGCACAAGTGCCAACCACGAGGGAACCCTGCCCCTGGCTACGCATTTGTGACAAGGGGGGTTGGAGGTAACATAAAACTCAATGATACGGCTGGGGTGGGGTGAGTTTAGGATGACTCGGCGACCGACCAACCAACCGACCGAGCGACCCGCCCACTGACAAGGCCCCCCCCCTTCCAAACACTAAAAGTTGGTCAGCAGTGAACTTGTCTGAGTTTGCCTTTGTGACATCCGGTTGTCTCTTCTTTGAGGGTACCCTTTTGCATTGCTTTAAGGAATCCAATGAGAAGCTAAACTTAGTTGCCCAAAGGACCCAGAATAAAAGGTGATCACCTTGTGGCACCTTTACTAGACATGGGAATCCGAAATGGAAAAACCAATTCAGGTTGGGCAAGTGAGCTAAACACAATTTGTTGAGGGTCTAAACAAGACGTCCCAAATGGTTTTGGGGTCTGGGCGGCCCATGGGGTCGAACAACCTTCCCATTTTTTCTGGACTTGGACCTGCAAGATGGTGTCACAGTGGTGTCCTTTGGCCTCCCCTTTAAAACCAGGAAAAGAAGAACGGTCAAAACACAGGCCACACCCAGCTGTCCGGACGAACCATCATGGCCCAGGGGCGCGATCTGTGGCCGTCTCAATGGTCGCCATGTACCTGGCGATCGACAATCGCCCCACCAAGTCAACGCGCCGGCTGCATGGAGGTGAAACTACGACCTTGGACCCTCAAAGTTGGTACCGGTGAATCCAACTTGCGTGCGGATGGGTATGGGCATTTACCTGTTTGATGCTTCTCTTTTTGGGGAGTCCTTTTTGGTGGTGTTCAGGGGAAGCCAAAGGAAATCCACCATATTGGGGTCGACAAGAGACACAGTGTGGGGAGAACCACTTCCCTGACCTGGGGATCATGTTTGGAAGCAGGTCCGGACTCGTGAGACATCAGGAAAGTGGGGCTCACCTTTGGGTAAGTCTTTGGCCATCAAAAATTCCCCACATAAAACGGGGAAACCTGCGTCACGAGAGGTCTGGGTTTTTGCCCCCAACAAAAGAGGCGTGCTTAGATATCGGTTCATGTGTCGTGAACCTTTAACGTGTAAAGTCGATGCAGAAATAATAACCGTTCCAGAAATTACAGTTCCAGAAATAACAGCTGATGCAGAAAGGGTAAAGCTGATGCATTTGTAAGGGTACCCTTTCTGGTGCGGCTAAGAGGAAAAGGAAAGGAACACCGCCGTCTTGGCGGGGGGCCCCTTATTTTTACACACACCCAAATGGACTTCTTGGACCCCAGAAATGCAGTGATTTCGGCTTGGGGAGCCAAGAGGCAGCGATTTTTGACCGGGGAAATCGAAGGGAAGATCTCCCCTTAGGCCAAGAGTTGATGATTTTTCCTAAGTCGACTCAGCACATTGCTGTCAAAGGCTGTACAAAAAGGTAAAACTAAAAGAAACCAGCGCATCCATGCGGACACATCACGCCGAATTCGTGAATCGGCGAATCGCGGCGAATCGGCCGCGCTACTAATATCCTCAA